TGCAGTGGCATTATGAACCACCATATAAAAAGCCAGATGATTTCATTTCTTAATGTCCTTTAAATTAAAATAAACCCACTACAAAAATCTCTTCTGTTCTAAACAACTATTCCTACTAATTGGGGGGACGTGGCAGAGGTGGGAGGGGGTGGATTTAGTTTTGTTTACTAACTGCTAAAAGTTAGCATGAAAAAACTAAGTCCATTTCAATGGGAGGAGCCACAACACTGGATAATATTTGGGAAAATGGGTTATTTGCTGAAAAAAAGTGGTTTTGGTCATTTCAAAAGTAAAAGTTCTGTTAACTGGCATCTTACAAGACACAATGCTCTACTAACCGGTATGCTGGCTTGTCAGATCAAGTGAAACTGGAAGTGCCCACCGTGGCATTTCTGGTTTCTCCGAGCCCCTATGGCTCGGGGGTATAACAGGCTATGCGGGGCTCACCTCCCTGTCCTGCGGGGCCCGCAGGAGGGGCGGTGATGCCGCGGGAGGGGTGGGAAGACGCCCCAGACGTGGCAGGAGAAGCGGCAGCCTGGGCTGCTCAATTAACTGGCATATTTTGTTATCTGGCATCCCCCATTCTCAGGGAATGCCAGATAACAGAGCTTTTACTTGTGAAAGTACCTTTCATTTGTGGAATTGCTTCTATTAGAAAAAATATTTGCCAAAATATTAGTCAAATCATTACTGATGCTGCCATCATTCTCACATCCCCTTTCATCCAATAGGTCAGTAGCTAGAGTATTTCCCTATGCTGGGGAAAATCCAAGTTCCATTATCTTGTCTGCTTGAGGAAGCTTGAACCTACAACTCCCACCTCCAGGGAGAGTGTCCTCCTCATCTCCCTGCTTTAGGATCCTTGAAGGTGGGTTACTTTCAATCTCTCCTGTTGATGCTTTGCCAATTGGTATAATATATCTACTTATTTGCATAAAAGATAAATGTTCCACCTCCCAGGCAAGGGCCCTAACGGTGAGGCCAATGAGCCGTTTTTTCTTTCTCTTTACAAAGTATAAATGTGAAACAGCTCCAGCAGGCTAGACTGAGGGAAATACAATGCACAATGACACAATTAGGGTGGAGTGACTGGGGCATCCGGGCCCAAGTGCTAAATTGGTGGGGGAGGAGGGAGAAAAAAAAAAGGCTACTGCTATAGCCAGACAAATGTCACTGTCTTCATGTGTGGCATTGATCTTGCACACTTGGCCACATAGTTATGCCTCTGACAATGCAATAGGGTATCATCCCTACTGCCTGGTGTTTGGGACATGTTTCTGGGAGATGGTGGATGTGGGTTTAAAAGTATTCAGACAGAGCAGGGGATATCTCCTATATCCTGGATAAGTGCTCTAAACAATGGGCTCCTGGATAAAAATAGTTAAAAAAAATAAAGGGCACCACCACCATCACAGTCTCTACCACTGAATCTAGATATTATTACATATTCCAGAAAAAGAAAATCTGTTTTGGACTGAATGAAGCATGTCACAAAACTGCTGGACCTGCAAGGGAGAGGAATACTGCTTTGGTATGAAATACATGAAATAAAATTATTTTATTTTGAGTTGATCCAACCTGAATTTTTGGTTTTGCTACTGAACCAAATATAATGATTCAGAAACCCCTATTTAACCGACTTCAAAATCCTTTAATAATGATTATGTGGGAGGCTGGCATAGAATAACAGAGTAGTTTTTATGCTATATGATGATAATTCTCATGAACTTTTTTTCACTTGCAGGACTCTAGATGATAATAAGCTGAGGATATCTTCTCAGTTGTTTTTAACCTATACTAATTACAAGTGAGTGGGGCAGAGGTCAGCTATTTTAGCCCCTACTTTGAAGTTGCTTTTCTCTTCATTAAACTGGAGTTCTCTTTCAAGATTACTAAGTATTGGTACCACACCCCAAATCCACCTTAATTTGCATTTGAAGCTGAAGGTAGACAAGCACTAGTAGGTGACCTTGAATGAGACCTGCCCCAGGACATAAAATAGTAGAAATAGGTCTCAATGGAAATTCAGTATTGATCTCCCTTTTCCATTTCAGGATTGAACTAGTTAAATGAGAGCCTATGTAATTTGGATTCAGATTCAGCCCGAATCAGGGACAGTGGTTTGATTAGTTGATTTGGATTACTGTCCCTGATTCAATTCGACTGAATCTGAATCTGAAGATTCGATGCTGATTCAGAGAATCAGTGATTCAGACACAAACCACAGCTTTAAAAGTTTTTTCTACATACCTTGAGGTAGCAGGAGTGGCTTGTGATGACTGCGATGCTGGGGTGCATGGAGCATCCTACAGGAGTGCAGGGGGGGACCTCCATGTGCTTGGTGGTGAACCCAGAAGTGGACCGGGTCTGCTGGGGAGTGTGCTGGAGGGGCCCTCCATGCCTCCCCGGCTCAGTGATTGGCTGCAGGGGGACCCCTGGGTACCCCCCACCCCCAGACCCAGGAGGAACCAGTCACCAAGCTGGAGGAGGGGCGGGGGGGAAGGGTGCCCTGCGTGCTCCCCAGTGGACCTAGAAGTGGACCGGAAGTGCTTCTGGTCCACTTCTGGGTCTGCTGCTGAGTGCGCTTGGCAGGCCCCCACACTCCTGTGGGACACTCTATGATCCCCAGCATCGCAGCATTCATGAGCACCTGTTACCTAGAGGTATGTAGAAAAAAGCTGTCTTTATTTAAAGCTGTCTTTATATCCAAATCTCTGAATCTTTCCAAATCTCTCTGAATCAATTTGAAGGGTTCTGATTTGATTCGGAGAGCTTAAAGGGTCCTCTAAGTTGATTCGGATTCAGAGATTCAGCCACCGAATCGGGCTGAATCTCCGCTGAATCGAATCAGAGACTGAAGCTTCGCCATCACACATATACACACACAGTAGCATAAGTTTTCACTAATTGTTTCACAAATGAATCTGCATCATCTACAAGCTCACCTACTTGTGTATGCACATTATCATCTGTGTATGAATCTGCCTTGGTTAGGCTTTGAAACATGGGTTTGTTTCCACAACTGTTTGTGAATGTACTGATGGAGATCCTCTGAAAATTTGTGCTAGTACTAACAGACATTCTAACAGACAAACAATATTGCCTGCTATACAAGTGTTCATATCATCACTAGTAAGATAACTGGGAAGAAATAGCTTACTGTGTAGAACCAAAACTTAACAATGGGTGCATTATAGAACTCATATATCTTTCTTCCAAGGGGGATGAGCCTGTGCCTGCTTTGAACTTCCTCTTCCTCCTTTTTTCTGGATGATTCTCCATTCCCTCGGCCCAACATTGCCTGCAAGAATGAATACAGGTGAGGTTATTTCTTTGTTTACTATCAACTGTGTTATTTTTGAAAATGTCACCAGGCTTTCAAGCATTCTGTGATTTTTTTTACCCGAATTTGTGAATTGGGTGACCCGCCCCTTTTGAACCCATGAAGTTGTAGGATTTAACTATTTTGCTTGCAAATAACCTGTTTTAGATAGGAAGCTGCATTTCAGTTTATACAAACTGTTCCCTGATAAGCTGAAGAAGTAACACTTCAGCAGGAATTATCAAGCTCTAATTTCCATTCAAAACTTGGTTCTGGGACATGGGTTATATATGGCAATCGTTACTGCTTTTTGCTATATTGAGTTTTTTTCTATTTTACAGATTAGCATTTGCATATGAAAATATTTTGGTTAAGCTGTAACGTTGATACAGGCACAACAGAGAAGGATAGAAAATGTTGTTATAAAGCAATGATCATGGTGTGCCAGTTGGCATTGGAAAAGAAACACAGTGAAGAGGGAAAGAGGTGCTGAAGGCTACTGAACTGTAAATAATGCAGCTGGTCATTGTTGTTCATGCTGATTATTGTAGCCTACTTAGGACATGATCCTGCAATGTGTTCTATGTGGATTCAGTTGGTTTGCTCGTTAGAGTTCATTGCTAGACTGAGTAATCTTATTTCTCAAGGAATTGCTTCTTCTTCACTACTTTCCAGAATGCTGAGCATACTTTGTGTGCTAGATCCACAGTTTAATGTAACTTGATTGCAGTGGGCCTAAGGCAATGTATACCAGCTGGATATCTGCCCAGATTTTTAGCAATAAATACACAAGAAGTCATTAATAATAAACAAAAGACAAATAATGAATAAGTAACAAGGAGAGTTACTCTGAAGTTCAGACTCAGCTGTAAATATATACAAAGAGGGATTACAGTGAATAACATTCCCTTAAAAAAAAAAAAGCTAAAAAGGGAGAGTCCCAGTCTATTCCTAATCCTGAGTGACTGAGCAAAGATCTGCTCTTTTGGTTTTCATTCCTCTGTGAACAGGAAACTTGAAGCATTTGGATTTTAGGAGAGATGTATGCTGTGACCAAGCTCCCACTTTAATTTGTCATGGCATGTATAGGTTTTGGTGCTTCAACAGACGGAGGCAGGTGTATATCTGGTATTTTGATATCTCCTATACTATCTAACTGTCCTGATGCTGCCATAATGTTTTTATTTAAATAATCTTAATATCATTTGTTTGAGGATTACTGAGTTGTTATTCTATACATAATTACTTAATTCAGCCTCACAACATCCTGTGACATGGTCTTCTTATTCTCATCCCTACTTTACAGCTGAGAAAACAAAGCCATATAGAACTCTAGTATTATCTTCGGGCCTTGTTACATGGTAATTTTGAGCAGCTCCTGTAGCTCTTAATACCTGGATTGTCCACATATTAACACTTGAAATTAGTTTTCAGCATTTGTTAGGCATCTCAAAGTTATGCCACTCCAGGGCAGAATTATCTCTGATCTGTGTTATCTATCTCATGCCACTCTAGGCTACACTGGGCACATGTACATGTGCAATTATGGTGCCTGAATAAACTGCGGAGTTCATTGCTCTGGGGTTAATTGCATGGTGTGCGCCCAAGAGCAATTAACTGTGAAACAATAAGCTCCGCAGTTTATACAGGTGTAACATGTGGAGCTTGGGTGGAGCAGCCCTGGCTAACGGAGGGCACTGGGGGTCAGCCTGCCAACCCAGTGCTGCTCCCCCTGGCTCAATGTGCTGTGGAAGGGCTGGCTGGGGCACAAGGGAACTTTAGTACAGGGCTAGCTGGCAGGCAGCCCCTGCGCTGAAGCAGATCTTGTGCCCAGCCAGGCTCTCCAACATCTACACGTGCCCTACTGTGGAGTTTTTTATTCTCCAGTAGGATCATCGTTGGCAGCCATCACCCTCGGGAGACCATGGGAATTGCACCCTTGGTAGGTTACCAGATACCACCACAGCTTCTTGAGTGGCTGGGGAGTCCAACGTGCGACAGGCAGACCCTCTGGCAAGTTTCACGTATGAACTCGGTTGAGCTTGCACTGGCATGCCAATTACTGTTTTGCCCTGCCTAACTCATGCCTCTTCTCTAGCTCATCATTGATCTTCTCCATCTCAAAGTGATGTAGGTCCTACTTCACAGTGGCTTTCCACTTGCAGCAGTCTGAAGCAACTGATTCCCAGCACTGGCCATTGATGTGCAGCTCATGAAGGTTTTTCCTCGGAGACATCAACAAAATGGAGTTTGGGCCATCCAAATTGACATTTGCCAGTGGTCAGCTCACCAGAGTATGTCCTTGGTGTTTTGGCCATTGCTCATATGCTTCACATGTCCTACCAACAGAGGCATTTCTGTCTCAGGTGCATAAACATACTAGGTATTTTGGTCCATTCCAGAACAGTGGAGTTGGAGATTTTGTCATGCCATGTTATGCCCAGGATATAGCGGAAGCATTGATGATGGAAAGTGTTCAGTTTTCTTTCTTCCTTGGTGCAAGGAGTCCACGTTTCACTGCCATACAAAAGAGAGCTAAGTATATAGCTCTTTGTCGACAGAGTGAGCTTTCTATTTTTCCAAACTCTCTTCTGAAGTTTAGCCATGGTGTTGCCTTTCCAATGTGAGCATTAATTTCAGCTTCCAAGCCAAGATTTTGTGAGACAGTGGACCTCAAGTAAGTGAATTTTTCAACTGCTTCCAGGCTGTTATCATTTATTCTAAATTTAGGAGGGGGATCAACTTGTTGACACATGACAACTGTTTTCTTTAGGCTAGTGGTCAGACCAAAATTATCATAAGCATGAAAAAGGCAATCCATGAGACTTTGCAGTCCTGCTTCTGATTGACTAGCAATTTCTG